GTGATCAGCGGCAGGAGCTGGAGGGGGGGGATAGGGCGGAAGGGATGGGGAGGGGACAAAAGGTGGAGGGAGCGTCGCAGGGAGGAGGGAGGGACCATAGAGAATGAGGAGGACGAGTGACAAGTAGGGGGTCGGAGGAGGGGGGAGGAGGTAAAGCGCGAGGAGTGGGAAGAGCAATAGTAAGTTTTGCCCTCGGGAGCAGGGGGGGAGCAGAGATGAGGAGGACGAGGATGAGGAGCAGGGAGGGGAGGAGGGAGGAGGAGGAAGAGGAGGGGGGGGACCAGATGAAACCCAAGATGCGCCAACGAAATACACCCTCCCGCCCAAAGTGCTGTCGCAGCCTCTATACGGATGACCTCCTCTTCCCTGCGCGGGGTGCCGTCGTTGAAAGACGAGCGCCCTGTGGGCCCAGGCAGTTCAGGCGGGAGCTCTGAGGCTACGAGGCGAGCGACAAAGCGGTGCCCTAAAACCGTGAAGGCGCACAACGGCCATCCTGCTCCAGCAACGAGACGCCCTCGAGCCGTGGGGCTGTTGCACACAGCGGTGGGAGCCGCCGCGAGGAGTCCCAAACGAGCGCCCCACGCTGCAGAGAAGAGCTGCCTCCCTCGGCGTGTTCAACGGTGCAAGCTGCCAGGTCTGTGGTATAGCAATCTGCTTGGCAATCTCGTGCGAAACCCCAGTTCGGAACGGAGTCGTTCTTCGTCCGTTTCTAGAATGTGTTGTGCGACGAGTGCGCGCGGCGTCCAAGCGCGAGCCCCCTCTGGAAAACGCAGCACCCTCAATTCGTACAGCTTGCGAAAAAACTTAAAGCGAGTGCGAGCGGCACCGAAGCTCATTTCAAAAAAACGGTTTGAACCCGAAAACGTGTTACTGCTGGATGTTTTAAGACAAGTATGCGCGACGCCAAAGAGAGAGGCAAGAGAACGGTTCGCCGTCCGTCCGTTCAGCCATGGAAACTGCCAATCTTCAACATCGTGAACGGCAACACGGTCTCAGGCGAAACGCCCTGCCCGCCGTAACGACACACTGTTAGCTGAGGAAGGTAGCGACGGGGAGGCGAAGATTGATCGGGGAGACGTAAGACTCGAGTTCGGGGAACTCGGGTTGGCCCTACGGGGCCATCAATGAAAATGACAAGACCCAATCAGAAATTCGGCGCGATCTCCCGCTGCAAGCATCCCCTGAAAACCGGACCGTCAAAACCCAGGATGCGCTCGTAAAAAAAGCATCAGCTAACCCGAGTTCTGGCTTACTCGAGTCTTACGTTTCCCCGAAATGAATGCCCCAACGGGATGAAGCAGACGAGGAAGGCAGGCTCTTGGGAAGGCCCACCACAGGCCCAGCGCCCCATCGGCTCGGCAAGCCGCCTGGGCGCAGGGAAGCTGTGGAGGGCGGCCCAGTGCGGGGCCTTCCACACGTCGTTGAACGCGGGGGGGAAGTGAGAAGGGGCAGGCCTTCTCAGAAGGTTCGGAAGTCCCCCCTGAACACAGACAACTTCTCAAAGGCGCGTGGGCTTCTGAGAAGTCCCGCCGCCTTCTGAGAAGGCCTTCTCCTCCTCCGTTCCCCACCTCGCTCGCCGCCGATCTTAAGAAGGCCCACCCCAGGCCCAGAACCCCCATCGGTTCGGTGAGCTTTCGCCCGGGCGCAGGGAAGCTCCAGAGGGCGGCCCGGCGCGGGGCCTTCCACACGTCGTTGAAGGCGTTACCTCCCGTTCCCTGCTCGGCCCCGCCAGCTCTCCCTTTTTGCAGAAGGAAGCTGCCTCATCTGCCTCCGCTGCCTCCTCCTTCTTCCTGCTCCGCCTACGGCCCACTCGTGTCGTACTCACTTCTTCGGTTGCCCTCATCATCCCCCCCTCCACTCGCACCGCCTCGTCGTCCTCCTCCTCCACCTCCGATCCCGCCTCTTCCACCTTCCCCTTCCGACCTCCCCCGTTTCAACGCACTCCTCTTCCTCCTCGGGCCTCTCCTACATCTCCTCCCAATCCTCCTACATTCCCCGCTCCCTCCTTCCTCCCCCTCCCTTGCCTCCTTCTCCTCCTTGTCCTCATCCAACCCCCTTCATACTCCTCTTGCTCCCCCTCCTCCACCCTCCTCTTGCTCCCTTGTGTCGCAGTGACGCTGGCCGTGCCGGGCGCATAGAAAGGTGGTTGCGTAGTTCGTGCCGCGACATTACTACGAGATCATGGCAGCCACATGACCTTCGCATGGAAGGCGTCCGCACCTGCGAGACTGCCCAACTATAGGATCGGTAAGCGAGCACTCAAGTGGAAAAGGCGAGGACGGGATGGCCACATGAACGCTCGTGACGTAAATTTTGTAAACGTGGTCCTACATGGAATGCCAATGTTTGTGCCACACATGTGCTTCCACTATGCTTCTCGGCTGCCGAACTTCTGGTTTTGATGTGCGGCTGTCTCCCAGTTCACCAGTCAGCCAAGCACCGTGTCACCATCCAGAGATGTTCAAATCATCCATGGGGCACTATCCCGTCTTGGGCTCCCTCCAGCGTCTTCCAGCTGGCTTTTGCTCAAGCCCTCAATTTCCAGCCGACGACGCCGGCAGCTACTAGATAGTCGACCCAGATCCAGAGGCGTCCGCCGCAAGAGTGTCATTCGAGACTCTCCTCCTTCTTCTTCTCCTCCTCCTCCTCCTCCTCCTCCTCCCTCCTCCTCCTCCTCCTCCTCCGCCTCCTCCTCCTCCTCTTCCCTCCTTCTTCCTCCTTCCTCCTCCCTCCCTCCTCCCTCCTCCCTCTTCCCTCCTCCTCCACCTCCTCCTCCTCCTCCCTCTCCCTTTTCGTGCTCTGCAGCGAACGTTCCTCGTCCTGCTTGATGGTGCTCGATGAAACTCAGTGTGAGCTCCGATGCCGCTGGCGTGCTGACCCGTCCTTCGTCCCAGGCCACGTTCGCGTTGTAGGTCAACGATGTGTCGGGACGCTCCCTTAAGATGTTGCTGTGGCATCAGGTATTAGGTCATGATCTGTGTGTGAACTCTTTCGTATGGCGCGCAGATGGGATACGATCAACGGCTTAGAAGGTACCAAGGCGGGACACGTGAAGCCGTCACTGAAGCCCCAGGAAAGGATTCGTGCGCACTCCTTTCGGCGGCGAGCCCGGGGGGGAAATGAGGAGAAGGCCTTATCAAGAGGCTCAGAAGTCCCCCAGACGTCTGAGAAGCTTTCTAAGCCTTCGCCGAAAACACAGAAGACTGTTCAAAGGTACGAGTGCTTCTGAGAAGTCCCGCCGCCTTCTGAGAAGGTCGTTCGGTCCAAGCTTCAGCCCCATGCATCGGGCTTTTGAGCCCGATCGCGTCGGAGGAACGACATGCACAGCTCAAAGGAGCTTCACGGCTCGGAGCAAGCGAAGAAATCAACGATGAAAGCAACGCATAAAGATAACCGTGCGACGGTCCGCCCCCTCTCTGGCGCGCGGAGCGCATTAGGGGCGGCGCCAGGGGGGCTCCAGCGCGGATCCAAGAACTCCGCGCGAACCGTCGCAAGTTTATGTTTATGCCGTTTCTCTGCCAGAAATTGCTGTATTCGACGACTGGCGTGCTTTTCTCAGAACCGAGGGTACAGTCCACCCGTATAGTAAGGATGCGCGGTAAGGATGCAAGAGCCTCGGAAGGCCCGCCCAAAGGGTACCCGAAGGGGCTGGCCAGCGAAAGTTGCCAGGGGTGGGCCGAAGGGGCAAGGATGCAAGGGCAACCTTGGAAAGTTGCTCATCCTATCTATGCGGGTCGACTGTATTAGGGGAACGAACAATGACATAAACATAACAACTCAGAGGTCCGCGCGGATTTCTCGGATCGGCGCTGGACACCCCATCCCTGGCGCGGACCTCCGAGTGATGTTGTTTATGTCATTCTTCGTTCCCCTCTGTGTGCGACTGCACCAGAACAGACACCGCATCGGAATAAGGAGAGGCGCCATGAAGTCGGGGGGAGATCTCATGGCCCCCGCCATGCTATCCGCCCCTAACCCTACTCATCGCCCCCCCCCACCCCTGGGCGCCCCCGATTCTCGAGTCCGGCGGGAAACGCAAGGGTGTTGGGTCGCTCCAGGCCCCCCAATCTGGCCGACGCCCTCGCGCTCCCCCGAAACGCCGACCGCAGCACTTTAGTCTGAATGGCATCGGCGAAACTTCGGCCAGCGCCCATGTGCATACAATTTTTGGATTCGCGGGTCGAGAGCGCGCCTCTTCCGGTCGAAGCTAAGCGGGCCGCGCGAAGCTTGAATGAAACAAAGAGGGGGGGGACAGAAGGAGAGGCCTCACGTCAAGGCCAGGAGGAGGCAAAGCAGCCCATGTGCAGACAACCCAACACGTGTTCAGAGAGTCTTCGACGGCGCCGGGGGCAGACCCCCGCGGGCCTGCCAGGCCGGCGGGGGAGCGCACGGCGGCGACAGCGGCGGCGGCGGCCGCCCCGCGCTCGGCGCTCGGGGCAGGCCCTCGCCCCTCCTCGAGGGGCGAAGGCTGCGGAGCCCCCTGCGCAGTCGGGCGGGAGCCCTCGACGGCCGTGCGCCCAGCTGCTGCCAGGGTTAAGTCGGGCTCGTCCCTCTACAGGAGGAAATCTTCACAGATAGTCAAACAAATAATCAGAGTACGATTGTTCGACTATTTTCTGGCATGTTTTGGAGATGTTTCATTTTTTCTTTCAAAATCCGCCTGTAGGGGGGCATGCCCGATCTAATGCCAGAGCGGGCGAAGTCTACACCCTCCTCCCGTCCTCCTCCGTCCTGCGGTGGCAGCGGCAAGAATACGGCACACACACACACACACACATCTGCGCCATGCCATCATTACATATCCCTCTCCTCGTCGTCGTCCTGCTCCTCCTCCTCCTCCTCCTCTTCCTCCTCCTACTCCTGCTCATCTTCCCCCTTCTCATCCTCCTGCCCCATCACGTCATCCTTTGCCTCCTCTCTCCTCTTCCTCCTCCTCAAGCTCCGCTTCGTCATCCTCTTGCACCAATTCCTCATTTGCCTTCTCGTCAACCTCCTGATCCGCTTCAGCCTCCTCCTGGGAGCTCCAGCTAAGCAAGGACAGAACGCGCAGTAGGGGCATTTACCATGATACACCATGGAGACCACGGTACCCTCAGTACGAAGGGGCGCACTGAAATCACTGCAGACTGTCGGAAACAAAAACGAGCGTTCGAGAATCCCAGCAGGCTGTGGCAAGAAACCAGGACTGAGACAAGCGTGCCCCCCGTCTCCTCTCGGATCCACCCCGTCACAACAAAGCAATGGTGAAACAACGTGTCTCTTTCTCCTCATCCTTCTCCTCCTCCTCCTCCTTCTCCTCCTCCTCTTCCTCCTCCTCCTCCTCCTCCTCCTCTTCCTCTTCCTCCTCCTGTCTCCTGCTTCTGCTGCTCCTCCTCCTCCTCCTCCTCCTCCGCTAGCTCTCTCCTCGTCCTCCCGTCATGGGAGGAAGAGGGGGAGATAGAGGAAGGGCCAACTTCCGCTTCGAGCTCCTCCCCCCGCTCTCCTCCACGCCCAGGACCCCCTCCCGTCCGATGATGCCGAGCGGAATCGCCGTGTAGAACATCGTGCAAAGGACGCAGCAGCCGATGACCAGCCTCGCGCTCGCGAGCGGCCGGATCCTCGCTCTGTCGGGCCCACGGCCCCCCCCCAGCGCCGCCCCCTCGCGGTCTCCTCCCGAGCTTTCCGCCCGGAGGCTGCCAGAACGCGCATGCTGGTCAAACGCCCTCTTCCGCTCTGTTCGCCCTTCGCCCCCCCCCGGGCGCCCCCCCCCCCTTTCGCTTCGGCTGGGCGAGCGCGCAGGGCTGCACGGCCCCGTTCTCACCTTGGCTCTGGGCTAACGTAAGCCATTGAATGATCGGCCGGCCCACAGACTATGCTGTAATGCCGCGTTCGACCGACCCCCCTCTCGCGGCCTTGGCTGGAGGCACAGGGGAGGTAGAGGATGGCATGCAGGAGTTGCGGGACCTGCCTCTCGGCGATCCTGACCCCACTTTCATCGTCCAAGACCTCGTATGGCCAGGCGACCACCTGCCTGGATCTGCCCGGGAAAACTCTGTCGGTTCGCCCTCTTGCCCGCCTGGTGGGTCGGGATGGTCCGGTCCTGTGGCGCCGGACTGTGAGGGTGTGGTGCCGTTGGGCGGCGAGGCCATGTGCGGCTACGCACCGCGACCAAGTGCGTCAGCAGGAGTGTCATGTGCAATTCGGAGGGCCTTGAAGGCAGGCAGGTTCCTCCGCGCTGTTCGTGGCCCCTCCCCCGGGAACGTCAAGTTTGTCTGCGTTGACTGCCGGGCTGTGTGAGATGCCAGAGCGGCCGAAGCCGCCCACCGCACGCTCATCCAGAATACGCCCCGGCCTTTCGGCTCGGCGTCGGAGTGTTCTGCGGCTCCTGCATGGTCTCGCGTCTCCTCAGACACGTTCTATCTGGAGTACAGGGCAGTTTTTAATACTTAGGATCTAAAACAAAAACATCTAATGCATGAACAATGCATGACTAAATCAATGCATGAACTCATCGTTGTTTTTAGTGCTAAATCCCTTCATTTTTAATACATGATCCGCACGCGGAGCATGTATAAAAAACGGCACTGTGAGGTGGTCGGGGTGTCAACCTGGCCGCCCTGGCAGACGTGCTGTGCTGCACGAGCGTGTCCTGTGCCCCCTCAGGCGCCCGCAAGCTTCGAGGGCTGAGGGGGGCCGCGGACTTGCCGGCCATCGCGGCGTGGACGTCCCGCGAATGGCGGAAGATCGACCTCGGGAATGCTCGAGGAGCAGAGAGGAGGAGGAGGAGGAGGAGGAGGAGGAGGAGGAGGAGAAGGAGGAGCAGGAGGAGGGGGAGCAGGGGGAGGAGGCGGAAGAAAGGGCGTAATGCGACGAAGATGGGCTGAGGGAGGTGGAGGGAGAAAAAGAAAAGAGGGAGAGGAGGAGGAGGAGAAGGAGGGAGGGAGAGGAAGAGGGTGGAAAAGCAGGATGAGAGGTGGAGCAAGAGGAGCCCAGACTTGAGACGTCCTGATTTTTTCAAGACGGGGTCCCTGGAAGTCCCGCCCCCTTCCCCGGGACCGGTTTCTCATCCCGAGTCGTCTTTTGACGGTCCCGAGGCCGGGCGAGGGCCCCCCGAGGCCGAACATAGCAAAAAACCTCACGTCCTGATTCTTCTTACGACGCGATCATGTCTGGGAGGAAGAAACTGAAGCAAGAGGAAGAAGAACATGTCGGGTGCTGCTAGAAGTGCCCCTGGCCCAGTGTGCCCCTGGCTTTTCGGTCCCTTTTGGAGCCCCCGGGGCCCGCTGGGCCTCGTGAGTGGTGCCCTGGAGGCCGTCTGGGCCACCCCGAGAATCCTGGGGGTACCTTGGGCCAGGGGCACTTCTAGCAACACCCCAAAATGGGAGGGGGGTGGGAGGAGGCAGCTCCAGCGAAGTCCCTGGGAGTCCCGACCCTTTCCCCGGGACTGGTTTTCATCCTGAGTCGTTTTTTGAGACTCCTGAGGCCAGGCGAGGGCCCCCCGAGGCCGAAAATGGCCAAAACCCTCCCGTCCTGCTTTTGTTTTTAACGACGCGATCACGCCTGGGTAGAAAGAAGAAAAGGTGGAGGGCAAGCCGTGATGGCTTAATCAATGGCCCAATCGTGTTGTTCAGGAGCCGACTTCGCAGTCATAAGCTCTAGGCCGGTGCTCAAGCAGGGCACACAGAGATACATATAAGACTGCACACAGCCCGGCGCATGACGCTGGGGTGCTTAATTGCGAAGGCGACGAGAAACAAGCAACAACATCACATGTGTTCACGTCTACATCGCGTTCGCGTCGTAGTGCGATTCCGCTTCTCATCACAGCGGGGGAGGACGAGGAGGAGGAGGAGGAGGAGGAGGAGGAGGAGGAGGAGGGAGAGGAGGGAGGACGACGACGACGAGGAGGAGGGGGGGGAGGAGGAGAGGAGGAGGAGGAGGGAGAGGAGGAGGAGGAGGAGAGAAGGAGGAGGAGGAGGAGGAGGGGGAGGAGGAGGGAGGAGGAGGCGGAGGAGGAGGAGGAGGAGGGCGTTCATGCCATTCCGGGCTCTCTGCATCAACAAGATACGATCTCTGTTTTGCCGCGCGCGCGACGCGATAGAAGGCCACCACCCTCCGCTTTGCCCTCTCATCCTTTGTTATTCCTCCTAGCGCCTTCTCCCAATTCCACCCCTCCCTCGTGGACCACCTCAACCAGAATCTCGTCAAACTCCCTGGAGCACCTCAAACACGCCAGTCTCCCATAGGGACCCCTGAAACCCTTCGAACCCTCCAGAACTTCGTCCCTCCTCCGTCCTCATTCCCGTGACCGTCATCATCATCATCATCATCATCATCATCATCATCATCATCATCATCATCATCATCATCAGCAGCAGCAGCAGCAACAGCAGCATCATCATTATGCTGCAGCAGCATCATCATTATGCTGCTGCTGTTCCTCCTCCTCTGTTCCTGCTTATGTTTCATACTATTAGTAGTGTGATTATCATTACTTGTATGTCATGATTATTCTCGTTATTATTATTCCCCCTTCTCCTTCTCCTGCTCCTCCTGCTCCTCCTGCTCCTGCTCCTACTCCTGCTCCTGCTCCTGCTCCTGCGCCTCATCCTCCTCCTCCTCCTCCTCCGCCTCCTCCTCCTCCTCCTCCTCCTCCCCCTCCCCTCCCTCGTCCACCCGTGCCTGCATCCATGCCTCCATCCGCACCGCTCCGCTCTCCCTGCCCCCAGACGCCACTACCTGCCCCCTCTCATCCCATCCCTTGCACAGGCCTCCAACGACCAGGTTTTCTCAGGCCGCCGGCCGTAGCTCTCGACCTCTTCCCCCCGTACGGGGCCCACAAGTATACACCACCGCCACCTCCCTCACCCCGTCCCTCTCCCAGGAGAGAGGAGAGGAAGAGGAGGGAGGGAGGAGGGAGGAGGGTAGAGGAGGAAAAGGATAGAGGGTAGAGGGTAGGAGGGAGGAGGCAGGGAGGGAGGGAGCAAGGAGGGAAGGAGGGAGGATGGAGGATGGAGGGAGGAGGGTGGAGGGGAGGGAGGAGGGAGGGAGGACGGAGGAGGGAGAGGGTAGAGGAGGGAGGAGGAATCGACGTGGTGGTGGTAGTGGTGTACACTCTTGTGGCCCGCAGGGGCCCCAGGAGCGGCCTCTTCACCCTCGGCGTGCGTTTGCGGGCCCTGGGCCCGGGAGCACCCCCCCGCAAGGGGGGCCGTGGATGGAGCGACCCCAACGGGGTCTCAACGTCGAGAACGGACGGGCACGCGGGAGAGCGCAAGCGTGAAGAGATCTGAGCCAGGATGCCTAGCGAACTCAATGCTGCAAGCAGCGGGGGGAGGAAGCTGCGATGATGGGGAATGGAGGAGGAGGAGGAGGAGGAGGAGGAGGAGGAGGAGGAGGAGGAGCAAGAGTAGGAGTAGGAGTAGGAGTAGGAGGAGGAGGAGGAGGAGGAGGAGGAGGAGGAGTAGGAGAAGGAGGAGTAGGAGGAGGAGGAGGAGGAGGAGGGGGAGGATGAGGAGGAGGAGCAGGAGGAAGAAGAGGGGGGGGAGACAGCTCCGGCGAGGCCGCCGCGTGCGGGCGCCGGCCCCCGCCTGCCCTGGTCGGTCTTCGGGGTGACGTCGCCGTAGCCCTGGGCGGAGCGGGCGGGAGCCGCCGAGCCACCGCGCCCGGCCGCCGGGCGGGCGGGCGCCCACGAAGGCCTGGTCTACCGATGCCTCAAAACGAACAAATCGATAAGTAGACACATGAACACCAACACAGGCATATCAATACATACACAAGTAGAGGCACAAGTCAAATAATAATTAAACAACTACAAACATAAGACACACCGATATCCCCAAACAACAGAAATACATCAATGCGCCCAAGATCGTCCAAGAGGTCCACAAGGCGGCCCCGAGAGGGGCCCAAGAGGGGGAACGCGAACCACCAATTCGAGCCTTCTGGCCCTGGAGGCCCCTAGGAGGCCTCGAAGAGAGCCCAAGAGGCCACCTGGAGGCCCCACGAGGCCCCCAAGATGCCCCAAAAAAGGCTCCCAGAGGCCCCCAAAGGGTCGCCAAGAGGCCCCAAGAGGCCACGAACGCGCAGGCAAACGCCTGCGATGGCACAATACATGTCGGCGGAGTGAGCGAAGCGATTAATGAACACATAAATCAATACATAAGTAGTTAAGCAAATTAATACATTCATGCAAAATTCATCCATCAATAAATGCAATCATATTATAAAATAAGCAATTCGCCATGTTCGGAGTCCAAGGGCAGTCTTCGGGCCCCTGGGGCCGTCGAAGAAGGCCCAGGGAAGACTGAGCTGCCGCTGCACGAGGGTCCAGATGTCGGGGGAGGGGCGCATCCGTTGAGCAGCGTAGGGCGTCGGAGGTCTGGTGATGTCCGGCGACGACGGCATCCTCGCCGTCTCGGAGGTGCTTGGGCGTTTCTGGAGGCTGTCGCCGCCGCGGCTGGACACAAGTAACAGGAGGGTTGAGAAAGTGGAAAGACACGTGAAGGGTCTGACGAGGGCAAGAAAAATTGGTGCAGACAACCCACCCCACGGTCCCTGGGCACCAGGAGCGAGTTATTCGCATCCTGAGGCTGCCTGGGAAGGTGACTGGGCAAGGGCGAGGGGGCAAGCTTCTCCGCAGTGGCACTGGGTGGGCGCAGAAGGGGGAATGGGCAGAGGACGACGGGTGAGCCACCAGGACGAACGAACGAACTAACGACGCGCGAAGACAGACGTCCCGCCGGGGCGAGCCGGGCCGTTATTGGCCTGCGCAGGAGGCCGTAGCCTCAGAAGTCATCATGGCGCCCCTGCTGGAAACAGGACGTCGACTGGCACGAAGAGAAGATGTGGGCGAAATCGTGCACGAGCCGGCGCGAGGACAAAGAGGCCAGGAGAAGGGGGATGGGGCAGCCTGGGGGGGGGGAGGAGGAGCCAGGGGAGGGGGGCGGGGCGGGGGGAGGGGCGCCCATAGTCAAGGGGCCCAAAGACATTCAAATTAATGCACACAAATCCCAGAATAATTCCGCATACTTTTCCGTATTTCCTGTATTTTCGTCTTCCCCCCCCCACTTCCCATATTTTCCCATTTTCCTGGGAGTCGACGACTCATTGTGTCTGTGTGTTTCTCCCTCCCGACATAGGAGTTCTGCGGGCGGAGGGGAGCCGCCGCGCCCGAGCCCGCGATGGGGCCCACGCGGGGCGGGCCAGCGTCGTCATGGAGACGATGGTCAGCCACATGCTGTAGTAGTAGGTGTGGAGGTTGCCTTTCGGGCGCGGGGCGCGCGCGCGCGCCGCGCCCCACGGCAGGACCGCGCGGGCGGGAGCGGGCAGCGGCCCCGCGGCGGCCGGACGGGGCCTCCTGCGGCCGGGCACGGCGGCTCGGCGCGTCGCAGTGCCGGCCCCGGCGACACGCGGCGCCCTTCGAGCGGACGGCGCGTCGCTCCGCTCCGCGGGGCGGGGGGCTGCAGGAGGGCTCGTGAGGTTGGCGCCCTGGGCCTGGGACGTGAACGGCGCGCCGCGCCGAGGCGGTGTGGGCCAGAACCAGCGGGGCGACACGCTCTCCGGAGAAGGTCGCGATCGTATCTTCTTCCGCCGTCCACTCCCGCTTCCCTCCCTCCCCCTGAGATCCGACGTTGCAGCAGCTATTGAATCGTTGCAGAAAATCGCCACCAAAACCCCGGACCCCATCTTTCTGCTTCATTTGTGGAGCCGGATCGATCTGTGAGGACCCCAGGGTCCGAAACTGGGCAAAAACGCCCGCTGTTAAACTGAGGCAATGCCAGGATCCCAGGGCCCCCCTGCCGATCATCCTTCATATTCTTCTGCCGCCTCCCCTCCCCCCCTGCTTCCTCCCTGATACAGAATATGAAGACCCCTAACAATTTCTGAGGGGATCTACGAAAGCTAGGAGAGCCAAACGGAGTAGGGATTGGGTTGTTGTCCTGCACATGTATCAAACAAGACCGCCCATGTGTCGGGAGGGCCTAAAACACGGTGATCACAAGTCAGACTACGAATTCTGTGTGCTACCAGGGTCAGGAGTTGCATCATGCTTAATGAGACTCCCTGCTCGCTTCCCCCACCTTGGCGGTGCGCAAAAGGGGGTAGGAAGACGGGGCAAAATTCTTAGAAATCATCTGCTTCGTAGAAGGCACCGGCCTTCCATCTACAGATAAGGCCCGCGCCTTCTAAGAAGCAACAACCTTCCAGGAAGCCTTCCCCCCCTTACCCCATCCCTCCCCATGGCCGTGCACGGCGACCACAAACCCGAAAGTTGACCGACCCAACAACGAAACCAAAAACCGAAACCGAAATCGGCCTGCCGAAGACAGCCGAATCAGCAAGGGCGCAGCGACGCGGCAGCGACACCATAACTGGACCGAACCGAACCGACCGAACGCAACCGAGTGCGACGCAACCGAACCGAACAAACCGTGGACCCCACCCCGCCCGCTCTGTGCCCTGAGGTTTATTTTGGGGCCACATCCCAGAAATAATTTCGAGCACCCGAAAAAGTGTCCAAAGAGTGTCGAAACAGTGTCGAAACAGTGTCGGGCGAGTGTCTCCCAGGACCCGACACGTGAAAACCCTTGAGTTTCGGTACTCTTTGTGGCGCTCAAACTTTTCCTGGTGATCAAGGCTAAAGCAGGTTGGAGCATCACAACCTGAAGTCACAAAAGCGATGCCCCCCCCCCCCCCCCCGCGTCCGAGCCCCTCTTCGTCTCGCCAGGCCCCCCGCCGCCCGCGGGGGCCGCTAGGGCGCGCGCTTCGGTTCTCCACGACGAAGAGCAGCCCCGAGAAGCCTCCCCCGCCCGGGAAGCGCGGCGGGAGGAGGAGTGGGAGAGAGAGAGGAAGAGAAGGAGAGGTGAATGGAGAGAGAGAGAGAGAGAGGGTTTGGGTAGGTAGGGCAGGAAGGATCGCGAAGCGAGGTTACGTTGCCGGAGCTGGGTATGCGACCCCAACCTTGGAAAGAAGGTAACTCAGCCTAAGGCAGAGGTGCTAGGCCGGGCATGTCCCCGAACAGGGTGATTTTGGAAGAAGAAGAATAGAAAATAGTCAAAAACATGCTCACAAAAATCTAGAATACTCAAATAGCGTCCCCAGACTACTTTTTGAGGAGGACTGAATTACCCACCTAGTCAGCGATGATATTCGCCAAGCTATTGGTTTGATCAACGACCGGCCCGGGGGGGGGGGCCGCGTTCGACGAACTCTCAGGCTACCAGGAATCAGGAACCAGGAGGAGGATGCGGAGGAGGACGAGGAAGGAGGAGGAGAAGGGAGCGGGCAGGACGGAGGCAAAGTCCTGCACGCGTCACTCCAGGGCTGCCGAAACGGGATTACCGGGCGTCACCGAGCAGGCGCACTTGCGGAGTTGACCCTGCCCAGTAGCTGCCCTCCGCCACACCGAGCCATGGAGCACGCAGCCGGAGCCGCAGCGCCTAGGGGGGGGGCCTTGGCCGGTGGCCGTGGCACTCCGCCGCGTGCTGGATCCTGCAAGAACCAGCAACCTGGCTGGCTCCCGTTTGCATTGGCCCCCGTCCCTTGCAGCTCGAATGAGCTTGGGCTTGCTAGAGCCGGGCCTCAGGGAGTCGAGGAAGCGAGTCCCTGCTCCCTTGCGCTGGGTCGGGCATGTCCTCCCGCAGATGGATCTTCGACGAAACATAAGAAATACTCCCAAACCAGTCCAAACAAGAATCAAACATTGTCCAAACATCGTCCGCGGACTATCCTTTAAATTATTTTGGAACATTCCTCCTGTAGAGGGACGTGCCCGACTTAATCCTTGCGGGCTGACGATCTCCGCCCACCCTCGAGGGGGTGCCCAAGCTGGAGGTGCTCTGGTGGGGCCACCTGTAGCTGCCGAGGCGGTGGAGTCGGAGTCCGGCGTCGAAAGTGACCTTTCGGGCGAGGCTGCCTTCGACCGCACCGTGCCTGTGCACGAACGCCATGGACTTGAAGTTCTGTTTCCTCCCAGGGATACTGATCGGCCAGACGACATCGGTGATCCCATAGAGCTGCCACTGATAGCGCCGCAGCCGTTCCTTACCTTCCGGGAGCGGCTCACCTCGACCAAGATTGCGCTCCCCTTCGGCGATGTCACGTGCAGGCAGTAGTGGCATCAGAATCACAGTCATGCTCGATGGCCACCTGGCCGTGCTGCGCGTCCTAGTCGTGGTCGTCGGCTCCGACGCGGCGCTGCCAGGGGACCCGTGGCGGCGGGCAGAGCAGAGGAGCTGCCAAATCCTCGTCGTCACCCGCTTCCCTGGACCTCCAACGTCACGCTCCCACCGTAGCGTCAGGACGGGCATGTCCCCCTACAGGCGGGTTCCGGATGAAGAATTCGAAATAATGAAAGAATATTCCACAATTGTCAAGATTGGCTCTCTCTCTCTCTATATATATATATATATATTAATCTACATACATATACACAATTTGTTTGACAGACTATGTTTTGACTACTTTCAGACTAGCTTGTCAGACTATGTTTCGACCATTTTTGAATAGTCCTCCGGTAAGGGGACGGGCCCGACCTAACCGTGGCGTGGGCCCCCCGGCCTCTCGCACCACCTCCACGGACCTGGCGCTTTCCTCCCCCGTGAGCCGTTGCGTCTGAGGACCCCCTTGGAGCCCGAAGACCAATCGGGGGCGCGCAAGCATGGATTAGCGATCGTAGGAGGTAGGTCGCGGGAGCCTCCCATACCCTCTTGTCGGCTCCTGCGACGCGACGCTGGTCGACGCTGAATCGACGCTCACTGGCGCCTAAAGAAACGCTAATCGACGCTAGGCGACACGAAATCGGCGCTACCTCAGCGACTCGCAAACGCTAATCGACGCGAGTCGACGCTAAATCAAGGAATTAAGAGGCTATACCAGGCTCCCATGATCTTCGGGGGCGCGCAAACATGAATTGGCGATCCATGGATTTGGCGCGCGGTCGCCAAATCCATGCATTTGCATCGGGGGAGGTGCCCTCCCCAAAATGCGGCCGGTGCCGTCCGGCTCGGCGGCGGAGATCCGCGATTTCCCGTGGAAACGGGACCCGTCGCTGATCCACGCCCCCTTGATCCATGGCTGCGAGACGCCCCCTCGAGGGCACTGTAGCTGCGAGCAGCCTCCGACGCGCTTTTGCTCAAGACGCCCGGAGGTAATCGGTCCCTCCCCCTTATTCTGAGAGTCGAGGCTAATGATGCACAGCCGTTCGAGGTCGTTCGGGCACCCCAGCATACTCTGGGCTAGGCTTAGGTCGGGCGTCCCCCTACAGGGGGATTTTCAACGAAAAATGAAAGATACTAGAACAAATACTCCAAATGGTGAAGAAATGCAAAAGAAATGGTCCCCATACTAGTTATTTTTGACTATTTTTGAATATATTCCTCCTGTAGAGGGACGGGCCCGACTTAAGTCTAGGCGCAGCTGCTGGAACGCAGACAGGGGCAGGAGGACCTCCAAGAACCGATGAGCACGCCCGGGCACCGGTGACGAGAAGCGACAGAAAACTCTTCTACGTTTATGATGTTCCAGCCTACTTTAGCCTTGGTTACCAGAACTAGCTTCGAGCACCAAGAAATTACCCAAACTGGAGGGTTTTCACGTGTCGGGCCCTTGGAGGCGATACTCGGCGTCGACACTCTTTTGATACTATTCTGTGTGCTCGAAATTGTCTCTGGGATGTGGTCCTTAAGCGCGATGGGAACAGCATGATTCTAGGTGTGACTCGCCGAGTGCTGTAGGAATGCGTCTTCCCACGTGCGAGCAGACGAAACAACAAAAAGCCCCGACAAGGTGTGGGGCCACCGACCATCGGACCTCCAGGACCATACGGAAACGTCTGACACAAATCCCAGGCCACGGCGAAGGGTCACTCGCACGCGAGCGGCGAAAAAGCGACGGGTCCCATGCGGGAAGGCAATGCCGACCTCACGAGGCGGCTCTCGCGCGGGCAGACAGCCCGACACGCCGCCTCGGAGAAGAGGGGGCGCTTATTTACGCGCGACCCTGCGCGAGAAACTTACGCGCGCGAGCGTCCGCGCAAAATCGACCACGTTTTCGATGTGTTTGTCTATCGCTTCTGGTGGCGGCAACGCTTAGGCGGGGCGCTTGGGCGGGGGTGGGGCACGCCGGAGGGGAGGGCGCGCTGCGATCGCCACAGCGCGCGCGCGAGCACCATCCATGTGTGGAGGGGGCGGTCCGGGCACGCCCCCCATGCACGATCGCAACGGATACAGTCGGGGCGTTGACCTAAGGAACCCTAAATAAGGAACGGGGCCCCTTCCTCCGATAAGTTGAGCTTCGATTTCCCATGGAAAACCTCCGGAAAACAAAAGGCAAACTGCAGAACGATCAACGAACACCGAGCCCCTCCCCAACGAAAGGGGGTTCCTTCTTCAGGGCCCCGACTGTACTCGGGGGGGAGCGCGGGCAACGACCGATGCGCGCCAGGGGATACGCCGCCCCACCTTTTTTCTTCCGTCGCTCACGTGCACGCTCGGGAGCTTCTGCTTGGCATGTCGCGGCGGCGGCCCCGGCGACACGCCGTCGGACAGCGTGCCGCTGCCGCTCCGCGGGCGGGAGGCACGTGGACGCTCGGGGACGCTCGGACGTGGACAGGGTGCTGCTCCGAGCTCCAAGGCGTGGCGGGTGGGCAAGAGCCTGCGGAACGACACGCCGTCCAAAGTTCCCGACCGTATTCTTAGGTCGGGCGTGTCCTCCTACAGGCGGGTTTTTGACGAAGAATGAAACATACTCAAAAGTACTCCAACGAAGTCGAAAATGATAGAAAAATCGTGCCCAGACTATTTCTGGACTATCTTTGAATCTTCCTCCTGTAGAGGGACATGCCCGATTGAACCATGTTCTTCTTCCGCCCCCCCCCCCTGCTTCCCTCCGCCCCCCCCTGAGATCCGACGCTGCAGCAAGAGTTGAACAACGTGGCAGCAACTCACGACCAGAATTCCGAACCCCATCATTTTGAGTCATCTTTCGGGTCGGCCCGGTCCTCGGCGGCGAGCGAAGGGGGGAAGTAAGAAGGAGGAGGCCTTTACCCGAAGGCTCGTGAGTCCTCGGGCCTTCCGAGAAGTCTTCTAAGCCTTCCCCGAAGACGCTGACAACTTCTCAGAAGGCGTGAGGGCTTCTAAGAAGTCCCGCCGCCTTCTGAAAAGGCCTTGTCCTTCTCGCTCCCCCCCCCCTCGCTCGCCGCCGAGGTCTGTGGGAGTCCCGTGGCCCGACACCGGACACACACACACACACACACACACACACACGCCCGCTGTGAGGAAATCGCCACGCCGGGATCCCAGGGGGAGAAGGGGGACGATGATGATAATGAGGAGGAGAAGGAGGAGGAGGAGGAAGAGAAGGAGGAGGAGGAGGAGAAAGAGGAGAAGAAGCAGATGGAGGAAGAGGAGGAGGAGGAAGAGGAGGAGAAAGAGGAGGCAGAGGAGGAGAAGGAGGAGACGAACGAGGAGGAGCGACACGCAGTCCAAGAGCTCCCGACTGCAGCAGGCGGCCCCCGCCCCGCATCCTGCCCAGGCCCGACCCTGAGCTTCGTGTAGCCGATCCTTCCCCCCCCCCCCGGAGGGCGTGGCCTGGGCCGCACTCGCCGATTTGACCCCCCTAGATGGGGAGAAAGGCTGTTCCCCTCGGGCTTCGAGGGGTACGTCCCCACCTCGGGCAGTGGTGTGGGTGGGGATCGGCATGGGGACCCAGACATGCGACGTCCTGACTTTTTTCAATACGGGGCCCCTGGAAGTCCCCACCCTTTCCCAAAAGCCCGGTTTCCATCCCGAATTGTTTTTGTTGACGGTCCCGAGGCCCTGCGAGGGACCCCCGAGGCCGGAATTGGCCAAAACCTCCCGTCCTGATTTTGTTCACGACGCGACCATGTCTGGGGATGGGGATGGGCATCGGCTGCATGATGCTGAGACCCCCGGCCGCCCAGGAGGATCAGGCAATAGATGAAGATCAGCACGGGCAGCGCCTCGCCGCGAGCGCGCCCAGGGAGAGGGGGGAGGGGGGGGGAAGACGAGGCGACGAGGCGAGGGGTGCCGCCCCGGCGCCCTCCTCCTCTCCTCCCCAAGCCAGAGTGCCTTTGCTCCTTCTCCTCCTCCTCCTGCTCCTCCTCTTTCTCCTCCTCCACCTTCTCCTCCTCTCCCTCTCCTCCTCCCTCCTCCTCCTCTCCTCCTTACTCTCCTCCTCCTCCTCTCCCCGCTCCTACCCCCTCCCTCCTCCTCTCCTCTCCTCCTCCTCCTCCTCCTCCTCCTCCTCCTCCTCCTCCTCCTCCTCCTCCTCCCTCCTCCCTCCTCCTCCTCCTCTTCCTCCTCCTCCTCTCCTCTCCTCTCCTCTCCTCTCTCCTCCCCTCCTCGCGAGAACCCCTCCGCCTGCGGGCTAGGGCCTCCGGCAGCGCCTGGGGCTCTGGGCAGTCCTCCTCCCTTGGCCCACCGACGGGAAGGGGGGGGCCCCGGGACACACAAATAAACACACACACACACACACACAAACAGCAGGATGCCCCATATTTTCCCCTATGCTCTGGGCTTTTGCCTTCCCCCCCCCACTTCCCATATCTTCCCCACATTTTCCTGGGAATCGACGATGAATTGTGTCTCTGTGTTTTTTCCCCTCCTGAGGGAAGGGAGGGCGGGGTGCGAAAAAAACAAGGGTCGGGCGTTGGCAGAACTGGGTTTAGTGAAACCTGGTTTAGTGATCTGTACCGGGGGCGCCCCCCCGCCCCATTTCCACTAACCGGAACTGCCGTCACCCGAAAAAACACAAGCTATGGCAAACCTGCTCTGGTGATTCTGGCCAATTCAAAAGCTCCAGGGCCCTACCACCAACCGGGTCCCCTTACCTGGCGGCCATACCCGAGAAAGGGGAGGGGGGGCGGAGAGGCAGGATCGGCCAGCACCGCACCGGCAAGCCGGGTCGAACCGGGCCTTGCGCCGTCGGGGCACGGGGCCGAAGCCGCATCGCATCGGCTGCGCCAAGAGGCGCAACAGCGCCACGCGAGCACCGGGCCGCTTCGGATGCGGACTATCGGGGTCGAATTGGATCGGGCCGGCTGGAGTCGATATGGGATCGGATCGGGACCCCCCTCCCTGGCGCGCGGAGCGCGCCAGGGGCGGCGCCGGAGGCGCCGCCGGGGGGCCCCAGCGCCGATCCGAGAAATCCGCGCGGACCTCCGAGTTTTTATGTTTATGTCACTTTGTGTTCCCCTAATTTTCCCTCGTGTTGACTTCAATCCGCCTGTGCTGCAAAGCGGAATCGAAACGAAGACGGCCCATGAAATCCCCATCACACCGTTCAGGTCGAGCCCTGTTCAAGCGAGGTGGCGTGAACTGCCCGCCCCCTCCTGTTTGTGGACGGCCGCCAGGATGGCCCAAGATCGCCAACCAATAGGCCTCTGGGTTCGCAGTCCGAGGGGCCAGTTCGGTAGATCTCTCCACAGGATTGGTGGATGTGCTTCCTCCATGTCAGCGTTTTTTTGTTCGGCGTTTCGACGTTGGGCGGAAGGGGGGGAAGGAGTGGGGGATGGCCCTGGAGCTCTGCTTACAGCCATTGTTTGCAGCAGTGCGGCCTCTGTGGGAGACTCCACCCGCTCGGAACAGGCGCCAAAAAAAAGCCAAGACCCACTCCAAGGGGTGGGAGGGGGAGGGTTTGGGGGCCCGCGCCGATCGGCAAAACAATGAATAGAGAAACGATCACCATGTTTCAGCAGTGCTGACAAACCCCCCTTCTCACGGCATCACGCCTGCCACCCGTTTCAGATTTGCGAGACGATGCGCGAAGTGTCAAACATCAGATGGACGAAACCTTCAGCAAGCTCCTTCCCAGCTGGTGCAAGTATACCTTGTCAGCTTGGCTGCTGAACCTGTGACTGAAATCGCGACAGGACTGCATAATGGAAAACACAACAAAGATCACGACGACAGCGGTGGCGATAAAAGGATGGTCACAATGAGCACGACGACCAGACTTCTGCGCCCAGGAGCTCTCACGTGCCAATGATTCGATGTTTTGCGCCACTCATGATCCTCAAGCATGTGGGACTCAACTGTGGCAGTGCGTAGTACAGCAGAGCCGTGCTTTGAATTATCGCAGTGCGTATTTATAACGGCTTCCTCGAGGCCTTGTTCCTGCTCCCATCTTCCTTGGACCTCGTCGCTCATCCAGCTCCTCCCCTTTCGTGTGCTCATCGCCACAGCATACGTATATGTCCCGATGGGGAACGCGAGAGACTGGCAGAGGCTCTCGGGACGAAGATGGGTGGCACTAGTAGAAATGGAAGGACTTGGCCTTGCAACCCAGATGCGGCACCACATATTCGGCCGCCGAACAGGAATCCGAACGCGGCAATTCCAAGAGGGTCGTGGGACTTGGGCCCGCTCGGCCGCAGAATGAACTCGATCCTGGGTCCGTTTGGCGGCTGAATGGGCTCAGTGGCCGATTGGGCTCAGAATGGAGCCGAAGGGTAGATCTCGGATGGGCCAAGAAACTATGGAAACACGACCAGATCTTTGCGACCCTACTCCCCTGCAACATTTCAGATATGGAACTACCCGAGGAGGGCCTAATTTTCAAGACGGGGCTCTCCCTGGACACGTCCTTCAACTATATGATCTCAGCTGGAAGGATACAAGCAAGTTCGGTTTCAACACGGGGCTCTCGCCTGACGTCTTTCAAAAGAAGGCTTTTCGGAGAGAAACAACCTTTTGTGGGGATCTGGTACGGAACGGTGTATTGCAGCAGCGATGATGCATCCTGGGTCTGCTGTAGTTCCGCCTCTTCCACGTCAACCTCCTCAGCCTCACGCCATTCTCTCACCTCCATCTCATCGCCCTTTCCGCGGGCGACGCATCGGGAGACGCCCATGCGGTACAGTGCACACTTGGAGGCGGCCCATGGGTCTGACCTGGCTGGGCTCCGTGAAAGCCGGTCATCAGAGGAGGACGGCAGCAAACTCTCGCAAACCGGTCCATTCAGGGGTACAGATGGCGCAGCTTCGAACCCGATCAAGTTTTGCATGTCTCGGGGCCCGATAGCGGCCCCCGAAGGCCAACAGAAAACAACAACAAAAACTCCTCGAGCCCAGCACCCCGAACCTGGCCCTCCCCCTCGGGCTCGCAAGAGCCAGTGCTGGGCCACTTCAGACCCCCAGCCAGCTCCAGGTGCACACGCGCTGCCCCTGCGCGTGCAGATCGGCGCCTTCCACGGGGGCGGTTTGCAGAGGGTGCGGTTTGCAGCCCGCGCCTGGGGGGTGCGGGGGCGGGTGGGGAGATGACAGAGATCTTCGCCGCGCCCCCGCGAGGGCTCATCAAAGCTTCGGCGCAAAATGGCGGCCCCCTAAGCCCCAACTTTCGGCGGCGACGATACGGGCGAATAGCCCAGGGGAGGGCATTACACGCATTCGCCCGGAAGCCTTGCCGAAGACATGGATCACCGGCGCCCCTGGATAATTACATGCATTGCTCTCCCCTGGGCTATATTCGCCCCTTTCGTCGCCTATGATGCCAGCGTGCGGCGCCGATCGTCAGCCGCACCCCGGCGCAACCACACCCCCTGTATGAAGGGGCCCTGGGACACACGAATAAATAGACACAAATAATAGGATTCCCCATCTTTTCCTACATTTTCTGGGTTTTTATCTTCCCCCCCACTTCCCATATTCTCCCATACTTTCTGGGAAATCGACGATTCATTGTGTCTGTGTGTTTTTTTCACTCCTGACTGTATAGTCGCAGCCCCCAGGTCTTCGCAAACCCGGGTCAGCCAACATGTGCGGCCGCCTCGCGGCCGCGAGCGGCTCGCTGAACCCGGGTCCGCCAGAGGGGGTCTTCGCAGGATCCTGCAGGATCCGGTGCCGTGGCTGACCCCCGCTTGCACTGACCCCCGTCTCAAGGCTCCCGATGGCCGCCGAGAAGACCGCCCCCGGCGGCCCTGCGCGGCCCTGGGCGGGGGGGGGGCCCCCGGTCACTATCGCCGCGGCCCTGCGGGGGGCCAGGCGCCTCCTCGCGGGCGAGACACGCCCGCGCAGGGCGCCCCGCCCGCCCGCGCGCCAGGGCTAAGTGGTTAAGTCGGCCTGTCCCCCTACATGGGGATTTTCCATGAAAAACAAGAATACTAAAAAAATGCCCCAAAAAGGTCAACAAAATATTAAAGAAATATTCCCCAGACTATTTTTGGATTATTTTTTGATTATTTTTGGGGGGTATTATTTTTCTGTTCGTCGAAAATCCCCCAGTAGGGGGACAGGCCCGATTTAACGCCAGGGTTGGGGCAACTCCTGGGGGGCCTCTGCTCCCCCAGACGTATCAAGGGGGCCAGGGAGACACCAACGACCCCAACGTCGACCTATAAGAGAGATGTGCAGACTGCTCGAAAGCCGGGGCGCCTGGCTCACAGCTGGCCCCTCGTGAGGGCCGCCACATTCCGTGAGCCAAAGCGCCCGGCCCACAGCTGGCCCCCACGGAGCAGGCAGAGTCCTCCGGCCCACCAAGAGAGGCGCCATCCGTGCGAGGGCCGCCACTCCTCGAAGGCCAAAACGCCGCGCCCACAACTGGCCCACAGAGCCGGCAAAGAGGTCTCGGACATGACGACGACATGAGCGGCAGCCGCAATATGAGCAGATGGCGACTGCAGCAGCATCAACAAAGAAGTAACGAGCAGCAACAGCCGCATTAGCAAAGACGGTAGAGGTCTCCGAACACCAGTTCGCATTGCCAGGTGTGAATCCCTTATGCAAAAGGCTATCTGGTGAATCAGTTCATCCAATGTCAATGAGCTTTCATATTTTCAATATTCTCTCGGTCATCGTCTTCCCCTTCACTTCCCACACTCTCTCACCTCTCCGTTTAAACCAACAGTTCTTTGCAACCGTGTCTAGATTTCCCCATACAGTGTCTGCACCTGGGTGCTCTTGCCTGAACTTCTGAGGCATCGGGTGGGTGTCCCTAGGGAGCCCACAACGGACGTACGCGCCCAGCCAAGTACATGAACACGGCCCCTCGACCCGTGAGACCTGCCGCGTGATACGGACGTTCGCGCAATGCGAACTCTCGAAACCAGCGTGGATTCATGTAAGTGTACGCCCTTCTTTTGCTCCCGAGTCCCGAGGAGCCGCCACGTCTGTTGCCGTCCCGCTGCCGCCCGTTGCCGCCTGGCGGGAGTGCCCCGACCCACTCGCCACGCTCCTGCCACGTGGCCGCCCGTGGCCGCCCGTGGAGGGATCCACCAGGGACTGGCCGCGCGTCGGCCCGCTGCTGGCCGTGGCCGCCCGCGGGGATGCCCGGAGGATTCGCCACGCTCCGGCCCGTTGCCGCCTGCGGGGGTGCCCCGGAGAGGTTCGCCGCGTTCCGACCGGGTTGCCGCCCGTTGCCGCCCGTGGCTGGCCGGCCGATGCCCGCCGCGCGGGTCCCAACGGCAAGTGCGTGCTGGCTCTCGGAGCAGCACGGCCGCAGAAACGATTGGGCATCTACTCCAGATTTCGTAATAAAGGGAGGGGGGTCTCATTTCGCGGGGGGGGTCTCTTCCAGGCTATCTTGGAGGGACTGGGGGCTCTGGGGACGATGTCTGGGAGGGTTTTCCCACGGGGGAGGTCTGAAATGGCTTGTCTTGGAGGGTCCAGACCCCCTCTCTTTTATCACGAAATCTGGAGTACACATCCGCAGTGCCAGAACTTCCTGCTCGTGTTCGTGTCCCACCCTGGCAAACATGAGAACTATGGAGGGCGGTGAAGCCAGACGTTGGAGATTAGCAGCTGACAAACCCCTAACCCTTTAGGATAGGATTTAAGTTCGGATGGCCATAACAGTAAGGGATCTGTTGTGCCGATGCATCAAACAGACCACAAGTGATCTTGTACCTCTGATGCAGGCTTTGGGACGTGATTTAGGTTACGTCTTGATTGTGTTATTTGGTTCGGGGTTGTTTGATTCTGAATGGACGGGTTGCCGCCAGGTGGGATTCGGCCAGATCACGCAGGGGATTTATCTGCACTGCGCTGGTTTTGCTGGAGTGAACGAAGTGGCGCCAGCCTGGGATCGTTTTGGACCACGGATGCACCAGCGCCGCTGCCGAGACTACCCTCCCAGGGGTGGCAGCCCTGCCCTGATTTACCAGCCTGGAACTTATCCCTATCCCTATGCTGGGCACCTCCTCATCACGATGCCAATCTTAGGGATTCCCTTTTGGCGTGTCAATCTTAGGGATAGGGATACGTTCGAGGCTGGTAACTGATGAGTCGAAAAAGGGCCTGCCAGAACCTCACGTGCACAGCGGAAGCTCCCCTCGCTGCCTGGGCTCTCGTCGCGCCACCCCGGGCGCCATCCGGGAGAGCCGGCACTCCCTCCCTCGGCCCAGCGATTCCGAAGGGTGTGGACTGTCAACTCAGCCGCCAGGACACGCAGCGCGCAACCCGCAGCGTGCTGACACGGAGCTCAGCACGTCGACTGAAGACGTATGTCCGGCGCGAGATTCACCCGCCAGAACGTGGACGGGCACGCGCCGACGCAGCGCGTTGACACAGACGCAGTGAACACGGCGCGGGTTGCGTTCTGACGCGGGCGTGCCAGGGCAGCCGAATCTGCCAAGGGTGTGGTTCGCAACGCGCACCCGCAGAGGGCGGGCGAGGACCGCGACCGAGCTCTCCGCCGCGGCCCTAAGAGGCCCGACGAGGGCCACGCGGTGCAGATCCGGCGCCTCGGAAAAGTTAACGCATGGTGACAGATCAGGCGGCGAGCCCGCGACGGAAGAGGACAAAAACGCTATCAAAACTATTAACTTTTGGCGTTCCGCGCGGATTTCTCGGATCTGCGCTGGGCCCCCTCCCTGGCGCGCGGAGCGCGCCAGGGGCGGCGCCAGAGGCGCCGCCAGGGGGGCCCAGCGCGGATCCAAGAAATCCGCGCGGAGCGCCAAAGTTTATGTTTATGACGTTTTTTTCCTTCTTCGACTAGAGCCAAATTTTCTGCGCAACGATTCGAGCCGGATCGATCTGCGAGGGTCCCAGGGGCCCGAAACCAGGCGAAAACACGCCCTGCTCGGAAAAGGCGGATCGCCAGGGTCTCCAAGCAAAGACGCATTTCACATGCCGCACCCCGGCGTAACCGCACCCTTCGGAGTCGCCGACGGGTGCAGGTTCGGCACGCCGCGACCCCGGTGTCCGGCCGACCACCCAGCCACGCCTTACGGTCACGGTGACGAGCGCCAGGCCCGTCGTCAGGCCGATCGCTGTGCGGAGGACAAGCCCAAACTTTCGGAGGGCCGCGCGGATTTTCCCTGGCCGGCGATGGACTCCGCCCCTGGCGCGCTTCGCGCGCCAGGGGCGGCGCTGAAAGCGCCGCCAGGGTCTGGTGCCCGTTCCATGGGAGCCCGCGTGGCCCCAGTGCTGTCCGATGGGGGCCTGCTTTGGACCTGGCTCGGAACAGGTTTGGGGCTGGGGTGGGACGAGACAGGAAGGCCGAGTCGGACTCGCCCCTTCCCACTGGAGACGGGAAGAACGAGGGAGGAGGGGGGAACAGGAAGGGCGAGGATCAGGAGGAAGGGCCAGATGTGGTCCGAATGCGGCCCGAATGCAGGAAAAGCGGATTTCAGTGCCGCCGCTCCAGGCCCCCCTAAGCGGACACAGAACCAGGGGGGCCCAGCGACGCTCTATGACCTCCGCGCGGACCTCCGAAAATTGCTCGTGCCCGTGCACTCCGACGAGTGATCGCGATGCCGCGGATCGCCCCGCCCGCTCGCTGGGCGACCGGGTGGTCACCAGTGGCGCGGTTGGCATGGACTGGGCGTGGCTTAATAGGGGGGTCACAAATGGGGGGGTCAAAAAGGTCCCCTTTCGTGCCCATTTCGGGCCCCTCCGGAGCCTCAGGGGGCTCGTTCAGGTACCGTTTGGGTACCTTTTCGGACCACCCGCGACACCCCCCCACTTATGACCCCCCCATTACGCGGCGCCCGAATGGACTGGGGCCACGACTCCGGGTCTGGCAGAGAGGCGCGCCGTGCCCCGCGAGAGACGGCACAGCTCGCCGGCGCGCCCTGCGCGCACGCCGGCGACAAGAGCGGCACCCGTTTCGGGGGAAAATGGGCCGCCTGCCCTGCCAGCCTCTCGTCCGCCCTCCCTGCTGCCAGACACGATCGCGGTGTGAAATTCGCGGGCCCAACGGGCCAGGCGTGCCAAGATTAACTACCTACCAGACCACCCCAACCCAACCCGAAGACCCGAATTGGACCCGAATTTCGGGTTGGGGGGGGTACGGATCCCATGTGTTTTTTCAATGTTCCCCGACCCCCCCCCCACTGGAAATCGAGGATAAATTTGGGCCTTCGGGTTGGGTTGGGGTGGTTTGGTGGGTGGTGAAAGATCTCCGGTAACTGCTTAACAATTTTCTACGTCGCGCGCGCGTGGCGGCCCGTGGGGGGGTCCCCGGACCAAAAGTACCCCCGCCGATATCCCCAGCGGATCCCCAGGCGATCCCCGGCCAGGTCCCCCAGAAAGCTCCAAGGATCGTGGCTTCCGAGGGGGGAGCCGCAATCGGCCCCAACCAGGGGCCCCCAAGACGCCGCCAGGAGCCCAAAGAGGCCCCCAAGAGGCCCCAAAGAATGAGAAGCGATTAACTAAATCAGGAAGGGAAGTTTTTTCGGCCTCTGGGGGCCCTCGCCAGACCTCAAAGGGCATTTCTTGCCAGAGGGTTGTTAAATAATTTGATGAGGGTTGCTTCGTTTTCGGCCGACCTGAGTGTGTGACAAAGGGGGTGCGGCGGCGAGGGGGAAGTGAAGGGGGCACAGATGCAACCACACAAAACATCAAATGGCCAGCACCCTAGCCAGCCAGCGCTGCTGGCTTATGCCATGATACACACATGCGTTTGTGTATGCGTGAGGTGTGTGCCAAGCCATAAAATGGAGCTCGATGTGCAAGTGTAAGCCCCTTTAAAACATATGAAGATAAAATACATATCAACATATCTATATAGACACACCGTTAAGGATATTTGGGGGGAGGGGGAGGCGGTCGATGTGCGATTCCTCTGGGTTCCTGCTGGTCTTTTCAACTTCCTATTGTCGCGCACATGTGCACATGGACCCATCAGAATATATATATATATATATATATATACAATTTGATCAGCTAGCTATATACAGTTATATGTGTATGCATACTTCTCGATATCGATCGATCCATATATCCCGTTATATAGTTGTACATGCCTACGTATGTACTGACTTATCTTTATATCTGAGTATGCCTAACTATATACATGTCTACGTGTATATCGAATTTGCTATCTAAGTATATACGGACACATATGACGAGTAACTGGCGTACCTATTTATCAGTTTTTTATATCCAAATATACTTATACATATATATATATATGTATATCATGTTATATATGGTTATATATGGAACTATAGATGGATCAAGCGGTCAATCTATCGAATTGGCTATCGATGTTTAAATCTACCTTCTTATATATGTATCTACACATATATAGATGTCTACATAGTTATATATCGGTATATGTGTATATCTTTCGATCGATCGAAATATGTATGGACCTATATGTACATATATACATACATACACATATATATATATATATCAAACCGTCGGTCTACCTCTATATATACCTATCTTAAAATCGGACCGATTGTATGACTAAATCGCTGTATATCTAAATATCCATATATATATATATATGTATCAACCCATCAACCGACCGGGACAACCATCGGGACAACCATCGGGACCATCATCGGAACATTCATCGGGACAACCATCAACGCAACCATCGGGGCAAACATCGGGACAACCACCGGGACAACCGTCGGGACAACCATCGGGAAAACCATCAAGACAACCATCGAACAACCAACGGGGCAACCATCGGGACAGCCATCGCCACATCCATCGGAAAAACCGTCGGAAAAACCATCGGGACAACCATCGGGACAACCATCGGGAACACCATCGGGACAACCGTCAGGACAACCATCAGGGCAACCATCGGGACAACAATCGGGACAACCATCGGGACAACCGTTGGGACAACCATCGGGACAACCATCGGGACAACCATCAGGACAACCATCGGGGCAACCATCGGGACAACATCGGGACAACCATCGGGACAACCATCGGGACAACCATCGAACAACCATCGGGACAACCATCGGGACAACCATCGGGACAACCATCGGGACAACCATCGGGACAACAACCATCGGGACAACCATCAAGACAACCGTGGGACAACCGCGGGACAACCGCAGGACAGAAGCGGGACAACGGCGAGACAACCGGGAGCCACGCCAGGGGGGGGCGGTAGCCCAAAAGGCCATAGATGACCCTACAAGGGATAGAACTCGCGCAGCTTCGACTCGCCCGCGCGCACGACACGAGCCGAAGCCAAAACTGATTTCCTGGTAGGGTGCTCTCCGTTCCACTTCGATCTGACCCCCCCAACCTCCGATGGATACGCTTATAGTGCAGTGTTCGCGAGTGGGGAGCATGCGTGTTTTTGCGTGTCGATGTGTGTTGCGCAAGTTTTTTGTGCCAGATCTAGCATTTGCGTGGCCAATCCATATTGCTCAAGCTTCATTCCAGCTTGCAGCATGTCTTTGTCTGTGTCCCTTCCACCCAGTGCCTCTGAGGAGGAGCTCCCCACAGCAGTGGAGTCTTCGGATGTAAGTGTGCACTCTGCGCTTGACGAGATTCGTCTGGGAAGCGATGTGATGGCTGGCGGTTCTGATGCTGGGAGTTGTTCGCCTGGCCCTAACATGTCAATTGACGATTCATGTGATTCGGGTGATTGCGCTGAGCTTCCAACTGCTGATGATGAACATGTGAGCGCATTGGATGAGGACCCCGAGTTTGTTGATGATGTGGAAGAGGGAGTTGATGTGTTGCACCTCGCGATCGACGAACAATCTGTTCTGGTTGTCCCACTGCCGACTGTAGCAGCCCACTTGACTTCATCGCAAGACTTCGCTGAATTTTATTCGCCCCCTCGAGTTCTCCCAGCCGTTAGGGCCAGGGGGCTTGGAGGTGTGCTATCATTGGACATTGTAAATGGATGGGACTTCGAAATCGCCTCTGTGAGGGAGGTGTCATACAGACTTACTAGGCTCATTATGTTTTTGATGCTTTCACCGCCATGCACCATTTTCTCTGTGCTGCAGTCTCTGTGGAATTACAAGTACATGAGCAGACAGACATTCGCTTTGAGGTGGCAACAAGGCATGACCTTTTTAGAGCACTCCATGGAGTGCGCGAAAGCCCAAGTGATTGCAGGTCGGATTTTTTGTTTCGAGCACCCTGCAAGCGCCACCAGTTGGAGCCAGCAGTGCGTAAAGGATGTAGAAGGCATGCCTGGAGTTCAGAAGGTCACCTTAGACCAATGCATGCTGGGCCTTCGCTCGAAGGGTTCAGGCATGCCAATGCGCAAAAGGACAACTCTGTTAACCAACAGCAGATTTATTGTTGCTGCTTTTAGTGGGTGCCGCTGCGATCGCTCGCATGAGCACCAGAGGATCGAGGGGGCAGAAGCCGGCGTTAAGAGGTCTGTGTGGGCTCAGAGGTACCCGGATGGCTTTGTACAGAAGCTCGCCCAGTGTGCTCTGGAGCACAAGCGCTCTGGGTAGTAGGCAACCAATAAAAAAAAGCTTGCGTGCCTGCCAAGAAGCGCCCAAGAGGCCCCAAGAGGTCCCAAGATGGCCCCAAGATGGTCCCAAGAGGCCCCCAAGAGGCCCCCAGGAGGCCCCTAAGAGACCCCAAAGAGGCCCCCAAGAGACCCCCAAGAGGCACCCAAGATGCTCCAAAAGGCCTCGGCGAGAATACCAAAACGGCCTCGGCGAGGAAACCAAAATCATTGATTGTATTAGGGTGTTGGCCCAGTTTGGGCCTCCTGGGGGGGGATGCAAAATTAATCCTCCCCTCTCGTTTGATCGATCTCCTCCAAGATGGCCCCAAGAGGTCCCAGGATGGCCCCAAGATGGCCCCAAGAGGCCCCTCAGAGGCCACCAGGAGGCCCCCAAGAGACCCCCAAGAGGCCCCAAGAGACCCCCCAGAGGCACCCAAGATGCTCCAAGAGGCCTCGGCGAGAATGCCAAAACGGCCTCGGCGAGGAAGCCAAAATCATTGGTTGTACTAGGGTGTTGGCCCCATTTTGACCTCCTGGGGGGGGGAACGCTAATTAATTCTCTCGATCTCCTCCAAGATGGCCCCAAGAAGCGCCCAGGAGGCCCCAAGAGGTACCAAGAGGCCCCCAAGAGGCCCCCAGGAGGCCCCCAAGAGACCCCCAAGAGGCCCCAAGAGACCTCCCAGAGGCACCCAAGATCTCGGCCAGAATGCCAAAACGGACTCGGCGAGGAAGCCAAACTCATTGGTTGTACTAGGGTTTTGGCCCCATGTTGGCCTCCTGGGGGGGGGGGCGCTAATTAATGCCCCCCTCTTGTTTGATCAATCTCCTCCAAGGTGACCCCAAGAAGCGCCCAGGAGGCCCCAAGAGGTCCCAGGATGGCCCCAAGATGGCCCCAAGAGGCCCCCAAGAGGCCCCCAGGAGGCCCCCAAGAGACCCCCAAGAGGCCCCAAGAGACCCCCCAGAGGCACCCAAGATGCTCCAAGAGGCCTCGGCGAGAATGCCAAATCATTGATTTCACAAAAGGTTTTAGCCACATGTTGGCCTCTTGGGGAGCACTGATTAAGATGACTCGAAGAGCGCCTGGGACAGCCCAAGATGACCTCCAAGATGGCTCACGATATCCCAAGATGTCTCA